AGACCTCAGCGAAACCAATATTCCCACTGTTATTACTGCTTGCTGTGTGCTCCACAATATCTGTGAGAGTAAGGGGGAGACGTTTATGGCGGGGTGGGAGGTTGAGGCAAATCGCCTGGCTGCTGGTTACGCGCAGCCAGACACCAGGGCGGTTAGAAGAGCACAGGAGGGCGCGGTACGCATCAGAGAAGCTTTGAAAAACAGTTTCATGACTGGCCAGGCTACGGTGTGAAAGTTCTGTTTGTTTCTCCTTGATGAACCCCCCCGCCCCTTGGTTCACTCTACTTCCCTGTAAGCTAACCACCCGCCCCTCCTCCCTTTAATCATTGCTTGCAGAGCCAATAAAGTCATTGTTGCTTCACATTCATGCATTCGTTATTCATTCATCACACAAATAGGGGGATGACTACCAAGGTATCCCAGGAGGGGTGGTGGAGGAGGGAAGGAAAATGCCACACAGCACTTTAAGCACAGCACTTTAAAAGTTTACAACTTTAAAATTTATTGAATGACAGCCTTCTTTTTTTTGGGCAATCCTCTGTGGTGGAGTGGCTGGTTGGCCGGAGGCCCCCCCACCGCGTTCTTGGGCGTCTGGGTGTGGAGGCTATGGAACTTGGGGAGGAGGGCGGTTGGTTACAGAGGGGCTGCAGTAGCAGTCTGTGCTCCAGCTGCCTTTGCTGCAGCTCAACCATACACTGGAGCATACTGGTTTGGTCCTGCAGCAGCCTCAGCATTGAATCCTGCCTCCTCTCATCACGCTGCCACCACATTTGAGCTTCAGCCCTGTCTTCAGCCCGCCACTTACTCTCTTCAGCCCTCCACCTCTCCTCCCGGTCATTTTGTGCTTTCCTGCACTCTGACATTATTTGCCTCCACGCATTCGTCTGTGCTCTGTCAGTGTGGGAGGACAGCATGAGCTCGGAGAACATTTCATCGCGAGTGCATTTTTTTTTCTTTCTAAGCTTCACTAGCCTCTGGGAAGGAGAAGATCCTGTGATCATTGAAACACATGCAGCTGGTGGAGAAAAAAAAAGGGACAGCGGTATTTAAAAAGACACATTTTATAAAACAGTCGCTACACTCTTTCAGGGTAAACCTTGCTGTTAACATTACATACATAGCACATGTGCTTTCGTTACAAGGTCGCATTTTGCCTCCTCCCACCGCGTGAACGGATTTTGGTTGAATGCCAGCAAACATACACTGCAATGCTTTGTTCTACAGTGATTCCCGAGTACGTGTTACTGGCCTGGAGTGGTAAAGTGTCCTACCATGAAGGACGAAATAAGGCTGCCCTCCCCAGAAACCTTTTGCAAAGGCAGAACCGCAAATGCCAGGGCAAAGTAATCCTTTCACATGCTTGCTTTTAAACCATGTATAGCATTTTAAAAGGTACACTCACCAGAGGTCCCTTCTCCGCCTGCTGAGTCCAGGAGGCAGCCTTGGGTGGGTTCGGGGGGTACTGGCTCCAGGTCTAGGGTGAGAAACAGTTCCTGGCTGTCGGGAAAACCGGTTTCTCCGCTTGCTTGCTGTGAGCTATCTACAACCTCCTCATCATCATCTTCTTCGTCCCCAAAACCTACTTCCATATTGCCTCCATCTCCATTGAAGGAGTCAAACAACACGGCTGGGGTAGTGGTGGCTGAACCCCCTAAAATGGCATGCAGCTCATTATAGAAGCGGCATGTTTGGGGCTCTGACCCAGAGCGGCTGTTCGCCTCTCTGGTTTTCTGGTAGGCTTGCCTCAGCTCCTTCAGTTTCACGCGGCACTGCTTCGGGTCCCTGTTATGTCCTCTGTCCTTCATGCCCTGGGAGATTTTCAGAAAGGTTTTGGCATTTTGAAAACTGGAACGGAGTTCTGATAGCACGGATTCCTCTCCCCAAACAGCGATCAGATCCCGTACCTCCCGTTCGGTCCATGCTGGAGCTCTTTTGCGATTCTGGGACTCCATCATGGTCACCTGTGCTGATGAGCTCTGCATGGTCACCTGCAGCTTGCCACGCTGGCCAAACAGGAAATGAGATTCAAAAGTTCGCGGTTCTTTTCCTGTCTACCTGGCCAGTGCATCTGAGTTGAGAGCGCTGTCCAGAGCAGTCAGAATGGAGCACTCTGGGATAGCTCCCGGAGGCCAATACCATCGAATTGTGTCCACAGTACCCCAAATTCGAGCCGGCAACGTCGATTTAAGCGCTAATCCACTTGTCAGGGGTGGAGTAAGGAAATCGATTTTAAGAACCCTTTAAGTCGAAATAAAGGGCTTCATTGTGTGGACGGGTGCAGGTTTAAATCGATTTAATGCTGCTAAATTCGACCTAAAGTCCTAGTGTAGACCAGGGCTATGGCTGGTTAGAAATTTCCATTGACACTGTTTGAGGGAAAAAAATGAGTTTTCAACTAAATTAGAGTTTTCACAAAAAGTATGGGCTTTCCATGGAAAATCTAATTGCTCATCAAAAATCTGGCCAAATCCAAAAATAGATAGATTCAGTTAAATGCCACTGTGGTGCCTCATAGGTGTTGTAGTTTGGGTCACGCATTCTTTTCTATAGGATGGGATCCCCAGATGGATTTAATCTTCCACGATGCATCATGGCCCATGCAACAGCCATGATGCATCACCTCCCATCACCAAAATGTGAGACAATTGTAATCTAGCTCAGGGGTCCATCTTATGGAGGAGACAGGGAGCATGAGACACCTGAACTACATCTCTCATGAGGGACTGCAAATAGCATTTCAGAATCTATATATTTTGATTTTCTGTTGAAATATTTCAGATTTGTCATGTTTTGCTGAAAATGATATTTTTCACAGAAAAAGTTCACATTTCTGACCAGCTCTGTAAATTATTCCTTTTCCTCTAAGATTTTGCCTGTTGCCTCTATAGCACCTCCTGCTGGGGTGTGATTAGTTAACAGTTATATAGTTAGATGCAAATCACTATTATTAAGTAGTATTAATTATCATTAACCTTGGTACCCTGGGGATGGAAAGAGCAAGCCAGGACCTCCAAAATTCTTAATCCATGCTGACAGAACATTACAAAAAAGCCTTGAGTCAGTTCAGCATGATGTACTATTTTCTGTATTCCACATTCCTCATATCATAATGGAAAAACATTAATAAAAGTGGGTCTTTGTTTCTTAGGTGTTTGTCTGCCTTGAATGAATTTCTCCCATGGGAAGTCATGGACCTCTTTTTTCAGATCATCATAATCTCCTCCTCCACACCGATCTATATAGGATACTATATATGGAGGACAATGATTTCAGGTAGGGTAATAAGAAACTCAAGCAAGTGAAAACTTAATGGTCTTGTTTTCATTACAACTTCTCTTGTACTTCAAAATATGTGGAGAAACAAAGCAAACAAACATTTGTATAACAAGCAGAGAATCTAAAAAGTGTTTTCAAAATTTTCCATGAGCTGATCTTGGAAGAGTCAAAATGTATTTCCCCCCCTTTTTAAAAAAAATACTAACGGAAACAATATGTACAGTGAGAGGCGTTCTCACCATTTTAAGAAAAATAACCTAATAATCAGAAAAAGAAAAAAAATTAAAAACAATTTTATGAAAAATACATGGAAACACAAGATAAACCTTTGGCAACTATATCCCAACCCGGGAAACTGGAGATAGAATGAACTTGGGCTGAAGTTAAATACTAAAGAGAGAGATTTAAGTACATGAAATCATTTCAGACAGGCAGTAAAATGAAGTGCACCCCCGTCCAGTAAGTACTTGCACCGTGTTAATATTTGCTCCGTAAACTTGCCATAGAATCAGAATCCAGTCCTCGTTTTCTTAATTGTGAAAAGGGAATTCACTCTAAAATATCTTCCCCTGTACTTAAAAATCAATTGTTTTGATTTGACTTAGATACCTGATTTTCTAGGTGCTAGGTCCCTATAGTTTCCATTGACTTTAGCCACGCAGTAATCTAATTTCAGTGCGAATTGTGCATGCTCAGCACTTCTGAAAAGCAAGCCCTTTTTATTTAGGTGCCTAAATATGTGCTTACATGACAAGTTTTGATAATCTGAGTAATTTCATTAACTTCCCAAGGAAGTCATTGTGACTACATGTGTCAAGTTATGCATGTCTATAAACATTTGCTGTTCAGGCCTACCTCTGTAAAATTTCATTTTATTTTGACATTTATTAAATCATAGCAACATTCTTATGCTCACTGAGTTACCAAAACCAACAACTATATATAGTATACAATAGCTCCTCTAGCACAAGTTGTAATCCACGTCTCAGTGAGTGTTAGAATGACTGGACAAGCTCCCGCTTATATGACAGCCACCATCTTAGCCAACATACTAGCTTTAGCTAAAGAGCCAAGATTTCTTAGCTGAGAGCTGTAACAGACCCACATCATCTGTGGATCGGCACAAAGGGGCACCTGTTATACACACATACCAGAGGGTTACACAAGGCACAGGCAGTTATGCCAATTTTTTTTTCAGTGATCATGCCTTATTTCTATCATGGTGCAAGAAAGCTCAAAAAACTAGAGTTTGGGTATTTTATTTGTTTTGGTTCTCTCTGTGGGATGACCTTGCTAGATTTTTCTCTCCCCCTGCTATAATAGGTCAAATATTTTAGGATGTCATCTCTGGATATTGAGCCCGGTCTATGACTCACTATAAACATATGAATGAGAAAACCTCTCAATGACTTTCAGGACTTAAGTGAATAATGTTTCATTGGCTGGATTAATAGTGATGTATCAATTACATGCTCTAATGCGTCATTCATGGTCATGTGGACAAAGACAGAAAAAGCTTGGCACAAACTGAAATTTTTACTGATTACTAGACTTCATGACTGTTAGGATGTATTTATAAAAAAATTAATAAAAGTTTGTATCAGAAGCTATTTGAAAGATATTAGATGTATTTTTATGCCCATGTTGATTTTTTCCTGAGATATTGCTCCAAATACTCTTTTAGAAAGAATATTAACAGTCATTGTAAAAATGAGGACACCTACTTTTCTTGCAGAATAAGTTTGTTTTCCTTCTTCCAGAGGTCTTTGAAGTCAGAACTGAATTCATGCCAAATACTGAAGAAAGCATGAGGTGACACTTCCTTCTCTCCCATTTTTGGTTTCATACAGAAATAGGCTGCAGTTTCCAAAAAGCTGCCAAAGACAACAAAAGCATCAAGTATTTTGTTATCTATTGATATAGAATTTTTTTCTGCATCCAAAACCTGGCATAATACACAATTACTATTGCTAATAGGAGTGAAATATACGGATTATCTAGCTCTGATGTTTTCCTGTACATATTCTGTTACAATATATTTCCTCAGCAATGGTTGGGGTTTGGTATTTAATAACACACACATTGTTTTTGACCAAAGCATTGTCCATATTAAAGCCAAGAATGAACGTACTCTCTTCAGAGCCCAGCAAAGCCAGACCTCAACGCCTTTCCTTGCATTGCATTTTTATTATATTTGAAACTATTTTAAAACAGAGCTGAAATCTAAAGCAGTTCCAAACAGTCTTTCACTATGAAACACGACAATAGACAATCTAGCAGTCCATAGAAAGGTGGTATTACAACAATTCTTTTCTACCCTAGACAATAGTAAAACTGCTAGCAACAGTCATACTAGAAAATAGTTATCAATCATGATTCTGACATAACTGTGTTTGACACCCATTTCTGAACATAGATATCGCTAGAATAGATGACAAAGTAAAATATGTAGAGCTGAAGAGCAAGCAAGAATTGCTCTTGAAGGATACAGAGGACTACACAACAAGATTTAACACAATGGCTGTGATTTCAATGAAATGTAACCCCCCCCCATAATTAGAGCCTCTCTCTCTTAGTTCCAAATTTTAAAAAATGGTCAACATGAAAAAAAATATGAATTTCAATTCAAATGGATAAAGTTATACACCTATTCCTTGAGATAATTTTACTGAAATCTCATCCAATTTTATTTGTAATTAAAAATGCCAACGTGTTCAAAATAGTCTTCAAGAACAATTACATCAAAATATAAGAATTCAAATTTTCACGTTTCTATGAAAAATTGGCCAGTTTGTCCGCAACATTTTTTCACAACACAATGGCTCAGAACATATCAGAATATTTATTTTATTTGTGTGTTACACTATTCATACAATGCTTCCAAAGCCTGTTGGTTTGGGGTGTAGGAGAATGGGATAAGACGACAGTACAGCAATGGACACTAAAGGAGAGATTAGACAGACAGGGAACCAGTTTTGTGCCCCACATGGTACTTCAGATTACTACTATTCAACCACCCATGAAATAACATTTTATGAACCCATACATGGTGAGACCATATTAGTCACAGAGTGAAATCTTGGCCCCACTGAAAACAAAGAAATTTTGGTATTGACTTCAATGTGGTTAGGATTTCACCCACTGACTGATTACCTTAATTATAGTTACAGCAATAGTGCTATGACAGTTGTTAGTGCATGTGCCAGACAGCTAATCAAAAGCATATGGAGAGTGATGGGCATTACAGGATGGCTTGGGAATCTTCAGGCACCTTTTGAGTCAGTGGCCATTTCTGAGTAAGCTACTTAAAGACCATTCTGTGTTTTGCAAAACACAGGAAAATCAGTAGCTCAAAGAAAGAAGAGGCTCGGTTTTGACAAAAACCTAGGCAAATAGGCAAATGACACTAGGATATCAGACCCAATTATAGCATGAAACAAGGGAACCCTAATAGCAAAATGACTGATCTGAAAAAAACATCATCAACCTGACTAGAAGATGATCATCACAAGAGAATGAAAAATAGTCATCTCAAGTAATGTGTTTAAATTTGAGGTAACAAGCTATAATCACTCTACATGAAACTATCTCATCAAGCAGGGAGCCAGGCCAGAATGAAAATCCAACAAATACATGTTTGAGTTTGATAAATGGTACTAACATTTACAGAAGACATGAAGGCTTTCATTAACAATCCATGGGATCAAAGGGAGTTAGTCAGGCTTTTCCTCTGATCATTGCTAATCTTGCTGCGAACCACCAGTATAGCCAATTCAGCCATACATCTATGTTTAACTCTAGCTAATGGCATTCCTTCTTCCAGTCAGTTACAACAGAATGCAAGTCCCCAGCTGGATTGATCACCTCCCATGGCAACCAATTTGAGGGAAGGGGAAATTAAGCTGTTTGTAAAATGTGAAAGACCAGAAGCTTGGCAGATTGTCAGTTAATGTGTCACTTTTCTAACACCTGTTAGTGCAAATGCAGAAGACACGACCTACAACACAGTTGGACCTAAAAGCAGGAAGCCCCAGGAATCCAGGTATTTATCTATCCTGGTAGCACAGGTGAAACAAATCCAAGGTAATCATCTCAACTTCTTTAGTCAGAGGTATGTTGATGTTCTCCTTACTGTATCTTGAAGGAGAAGGTGGCAGGATTCAGATATGAAAAGCAAAAGATCAAGACAAAGCGAGGGAGAAGTGACCCTAGATCCCCAGAATGAAATTTGGGAAGCAGTAACTTGTTTATGTTAGCATACTCTGTGAATATCAGATTTTGTAATCCGTAAGATTACAGTTTACATATGTTAAAATAGAGAGACCTCAGAGCTGACTCTGGAGGGGACATGGAGCATATGGCTCAATTATAAAAAGGGATTTAGACAAAGTCGCAAATAAACCCATGAGGTTAGGAGTGGATATTGCCATTTCACATTTCATTACCACATTATTGAGCCACACAACAGATGCTTTGTTGGTCTGTCACGGTGTTGTGACTCACCCCTGCAGAGCCTCCTGCTGGTCTCTCAGGGAATTTGCTTTTCCAGCCTCTGGAGCGCCCTCTGCAGGCCGGTGTCCCACTTGCTGCTGGCCCTGTGTCCCTCCCCAACCCCAGTGCCCCTTTCACCCAGTCTCTGGGTCTCCCCCTCCCAGGGGAACCCCCACCCACTATCCCTACCTTGCCTCAGTCTTTGGCTACTGCCAGTCACCATTAAGCCCCCGCATACTGAGCGGACTGCAGTGTATTAGCCAGTCATCACAGGCAAGGGGGGGTTGGACCTGCTGCCTCTGCCTACCCGTGGGCTGCCCCCTGCAATTCCAGTACACCTTTTTAGGCCGTCTGCCAGGCCTGCAGCCTGGGGCTTTTCCAGTCTGCAGCCTCCCAGCTCCTCTGGCCTTCCCCAGCCCTGGTCCACTCCAGGTACCTTCTCAAGGCAGAGAGAGAGTGTCTGCACCTGGCCCACTGCCCTCTCATAAGGGCCAGCTGAGCCCTGATTGGGGCGTGGCAACAGCTGAGCCTGCTTCCCCCAGTCAGCCTGGGAACTGCTTTCTCCCAGCCACAGCCCTCTCCTGGGCTGTTTTAAGACCTTTAAGGCCGGAGTGGGTGACTACCCCGCTACCTGGTCTTTTAACAAACCTTGAAGCAAAACACATTTCAATAGTGCTTATAGCTATATATGCAGCATGTGTATGGTGGTCAGAGTAGGGGACTGGGAGTCACGACTCCTGGGTTCCATTTCCAAATTTGTTTCAGTAACATATGACCTTGTGAAAGTCACATAAGCTCCCTGTGCCTCACCTTCCCTATCTGTGAAACAGGTGTACTTACTACTCCAAAGAGGTGTTGTGGAACTTGCTTAATGTTCATAAAGTACTACGAGTTCCTCAAATGAAAGGTGCTTACATCCCCCATACTACTAAATCATGTTTCAAAACAACACAAAATCTGTGCATCAGAGAAGGTGGGAAAGGAGAGGGTTAGGGTTATTTTCAAGGATTAATAGAGGTACAGGAGGTCAGTGGCTTTGTTCCAGTCAGCGTGACTTTTCAAGCTTGATTAAAAATAAGGCACTGATGTTCACACTGCTGCCTTATCCAGACAGGGCAAAGGCCAAATATCTGTTAAAAGGATTTTAAATAGGTTTTCATATTCCCCACACTGGCCCCAAAGAACATTTAAATATCATTAAATCTGCTAAATCTGTGAAGGTGGTGGTTTCTGAGAAAATAAATAAGGAAATGAGATTAGGGAAGGTGGTTAGCTTCCCTCCTCCCCCAGTCTTCCCTTCCCCCAATCTAATCTCTAAAAACTTAATTGTTTCATCTCCAGGCACATTTCAGAAAAACATCCTAGACCTAAAAATTTTATTAAGATGATGTTAAAATAAAAAGAAAACGGAACAGAGTTTAAGCATAGAAGTTTCTGTTTATCAGGGAATAACGTACAGATTATCAAGGGGTGTGAAGTTCGGTTTAGGATCGGATGTCTTAAGGAATACATAATCTGCAATATCCCCAATTGGGGGTAAAAGGTTAATGGGTCAATACATGCTACTTATTTTACACCTCTGCTATTGTGCGTTTTTCTATAGATATTCGACTACAAAACAACTAAACGTAACAATCAGCATTATTAGAAAAACCTGAATCATATTTTTAAACCTACTCGCCACCAGCATGTCGACCTACTGGGTCAAATCAATTAGAAATACTTTGAGGGCAAGCCATAGACTGCTTTATCTTTTTGTTCCCAGTTAACACACTACAGCAACACACAATGATTCAAATTCAGGTCTGCCATGTGTCATACATCGACTGGACAACTATCCATTCATCTGACCAGTTTATCAATACCAACAAAATGTGTGTGCATGGAGATATCTCTCTTAATTTGTGGATGATATGGGAGTGCCTATTGCTGAAGAAAGAGGAATGGAGGAACAAACCACAAATTGGCATTTTTAAGAAATGAATTAGAATCAATACTACTCAACAGTGAAGAAACAGCTGCAGAGTCTCCTCAGGCTACCCAGGCTCCAGCAGCCAACAAATAAAGGTAACTGCAGGTCCAGAGACATGGTTTGAATTTCACTTGCAGGGACATTATTCCTGGCTGACCTTACTGAGAGATGGTTAACCCACACTCTCTCTCTCTACATCATGGTTCCAAACACCAAAAACAAAACACCTGAAGGCACAGCATAGTAGCAGTGATCAGTCTAAACATGGAGTTAAGACCATGGAAGATGATTCTAGATTGTTTAACAAATGAAGGACTTCAACTGCAGCTATATTCGGTCAGCTGTTGTTGATATGCACTAAAGTTACTACTCACTTACGTAAATTTGAGTTTAATTAATTGACATTACCTC